TATGCAAAGTGTTATTGTAAGTGAGGAGTATTTCTTGAATAATTCATACGGTCCCTTATCCAGAAAAGCATATGCTTTCTTTTAAGCTCAGGAGTCCCATTGAAGTCTATAGCACTGCTCACATACTTAGGGATTTATTTACATGGGAAATTGACCAGCAGAATTATAGCTGTATGTTATATGAGGATAAAGTCACTTTTATTCTGTAATAGGAGTGTCCACAAGAGGATTTATAGTGACTGACATATAAGGCTATAATGATACTGCTACAGTTCTGCTGATCAATTTCCCCAGTAAACAAGCCTTTAAAGGTTAGCATGTGCTGAGGTGCTTTGCTGAATCAGGGCCATATAGACTATGTAACATAAGAATAGCAATACTGGTTCAGACCAAAAGTCCATCTAGCCTAGTATTCTGTCTTCCCACAGGGTGCATCTATGCAGCACTCTTACCTCGAAATAAGCAACACAATTTGCGCTATGCAAATTGAATAGCTTATTTTGATCTTACTTCAAAACAAAGCACTATTCCGAAACGTCCCTTATCTGTCATGCAAGGAGGTTTACAGTGACATCAGAATAGCAAGCCCGTTATATTTCGATCTAGTGGGCTTGCTCTTAAGATGCAGAATAGCTATTTCGGGATAAATAGCGCCAGTGTAGATGTAGCCACAGTGGCCAAAGCCAGATGCCCCAGAGGGAACGAACAGAACAGGGAATCATCAAGTGATCCCGCTTGCTGCCTCTTCCCCAGTCCTGACAAAACAGGATCTAGGGACACCACATACAATGGTGATATCAGTGAGGCAAAGGGTTTGTAGGTGTGTGCAATGTAAATGCAAGTTTTTATGTTGGCCTCACCATACATCGTTGTGCTTTAAGTCGCCCTCATTCTCCATTAATTAGCACCATTTGTCATCATCTGCTCTCTTCCACAGTTGTCCCAGAGTTGCCCTTTCAGACCTGGATCCTGAGGTCACTGGGGCTACTCATAGGAATAAAGTTAAGCCCAGCCATGCAGATTTGCAGGGCCAAGTTCTAAATCTTCACCCCAAAACTTGATTCTGGTCAAGGAGCGCAGTAAGAGCAGGAGAGAGTCCTTCGAACCCTTCAGGGGCACTGGTGTTAGCTACCAGGAACCTGTCAGAGCATCCCTGAATAGATAGTCAGGCCTGGCCTGATTAGAAAAAATAAGTACGTGGGTCCCACCTCTGCCCTTATGGGCTATGTCTACACTGCGCCCGTTTGGCACAAGAAATATGCAAATGAGGCTAAGTGTTGAATATCACCAAGCCTCATTTGCATAATTAATGAGGCTCCATTTTTGCACAAGAGGCTTTTGCGCAAAAATCCCTGCTTGCACAAGAGCCGTTCTTCCTCCTTTTTTCAGGAAGAATGGCTCTTGTGTAACAGGAGGGTCTTGCGCAAAAAGGAGCCATGTTGTCGGCTCCTTTTTGTGCAAAAGCCTGACGCAAAAACAGAGCCGAATTAATTATGCAAATGAGGCGTGGTGATATTCCACGCCTTGCCTCATTTGCATATTTCTTGTGCCAAATGGGCACAGTGTAGACATAGCCCCCGTCTCTTCATAAGTCACTATTTAATGAGCAGGGACCACAGCAAGCATTCAGTGCAGGGCAAATCTAGTGGTTCCTAGGAGCCAGATGTGGACAGGAACCAGCAAGGCACAGAGCATCCAAGCCACACCCCCTTTCCTCTGGCCACACCTCCATACTGGCCTGGATGTGTAGGGACCATCCTCCCTAGTTTGGATGCACTGGAGGAGGGCCAGAATGCATCAGAGATACAGTGCAAAGCAGCCTTGCCACACCTTAGGGGCGGGCCAGTCTCAGTCCTGGCTGAGTGCCAGTCTGCACTGCAAGAAGCACAGTTCCAGGGGCAGCGGCCTTCTCACATGTGCATTTCTTGGTCCTATAGCGGTGTTAGTGCTTTAACCAAGAGGCAAGTCAAGGCCTAGCTATCACGGAGAGTGTGGGGGGTGGGGAGAGAAATCACCAGGCCCTGCACTCCCATTTGCAACCAGATAGGACTCTCAGCCAGCAAGCAGAACAGAAGCCACCCTGGGCCCCCTTCCTGCATCCTCCCCCAGCAACTCATACACTCAGCAAACCATCCCAGCCCTCCAGGCAGCCCCACCCCCTCCTTTCAGATTCCCAGGCAATGTGTCACCTGGTTGCTTCCCCCACCCAGGCTCAGGTTACCAGACAGCCTGAGCTATTGCTGTGTCCATGTTAAAAAGGAACAAAAGGCAGGTGCTGTGTCCATGTTAAAAAGGAACAAAATGCAGGTCTATGCAGCACTTTAAAGACTAACAAGATGGTTTATTAGGGGATGAGCTTTCGTGGGTCAGACCCACTTCCTCAGATCAAATTGTGGTAGAAAATTAGCCCAACCATATATACCAAAGGGATAAAATACAATAAAAAGTGAACACATATAAAGGGCTTGGCTACAGACGATGGATTGTATGGTATGTTCTGGATGGGAGCTGAAGGCATGTAGGTAACTGTATGAGTCAGTGGGTTTTCTGTAGAGAGGTATTTAATTTACTATTGGTGATTTGTACTGTGGTGTCCAGGAAATGGATCTCTCTTGTAGAATGGTCCAGGCTGAGATTGATGGTGGGGTGTAGGTTGTTAAAGTCTCTGTGGAATACATCCAGTGTTTCTAGGCCATAGGTCCAGATCATAAAGATGTCATCGATGTAGCATAAGTAGAGAAGGGTAAAAGGGGATAGGATCTGAGGAAACGTTGTTCTAAGTCAGCCATAAAGATGTTAGCATACTGTGGGGCCATACTTCCCCAATTATCACCTCTATAATACCAGTAGCTCACAGACATTAACTTCCCCCTCTCACCTCCCCCCCCACCCCCCCCGTTCTGAAATCTGGTTTGTCTTTTTAAATATTTGTTCATTTTTTTGATTGTATCCCTTTGGTATATGTGGTTGTGCCAATTTTCTTCCACAATTTGATCTGAGGAAGTGGGTCTGGCCCATGAAAGCTCGTCACCTAATAAACCATCTTGTTAGTCCACTTAGGACTTTAAAGTGCTACATAGTCCTGTCTTTTGTTTCAACTAGACCAGACTAACACGGCTACATCTCTATTACTACGTTAAAATGGGGCAGCCCCCCCACAGTGAAAGCCACACCCAACATTCCCATCTGCAGCTGGGTACCAGTGCAGTGCCCAGGGAAACAGAGACCCACACAGAGTTACCACAGAACAGTACAGGACCATAGGAATCACATACGGCATAATAAGTGAACAGAGGGAACACAATCCCCACTACGTCACACTAGGTTAAAATACTTTTCCTTCAAATAGCTAGGAACAGGAGATCCTTATTGCCACTCCATTAAAACACAGATGGGCTAGTGGTGAATCCTTTTTGTAGTGTAAGTAGGGACATAAAATCCCGTTTAATCAGTTAACTGGTTAAATGTTACACTACAAGTTGTTTTTTCTGAAGCGGAGTCTGGACTTCCACCAGCCAAAATCAGGAGTTGCTCCAAAGAAGGTCCTGGAGTTACACTGGTGGAAGTGATTCAGATCAGGGACTTTGTTGTCACTAGTAAACACTAGTTCGAGACCTCCCCCCCCACCCCATCCGGCCACACACTTGCTGTATGACTCGCAACTCCATTGAAGCCAACTTCTATTAACATAAGCGGGGCCAGCATTCCATCCTGCAGCCTTCCTGTGCCCTCAGTCTCTGCTCTACCACATAGGGATAGTGATATCCCCTCTCTCCCATGCTCGGCCTGTGTTGTCTAGTTCACAGAAGGGGAAACAGAGGCAGCAGGAGCACAGATGAAGTACTATGGTCACAAACAAGTCAGTGGCCAAGGTGAGGCTGGAACCCAGGAGGCTGGAGACCTCATCCCATGCCCTGACCTGTACGTAACCACGCTCCTGGTCCCTGGACTTCAACTTAGTGGTGATTGTTCCAAAACTCTCCCAAATGAATGCCCCACTTAGGACTTTTCTGCTGTCATCCGCCTTTGAACTAGTGACTGACTGTATTGGATTTTTCATCCAGCAGATGAAGACCCAATGGTTCCAAATAAGGAGAAGCACTAGGAGGAGAGGACTAAAAACAGGAGCCCCCTCAGGAAATGAAACGAGGAAGGAGAAGTGGGAATGCACCGATGCGAGGCAAAAATCTCCCTGAGTCAGGATAAAGCCAAACCCATCCGGAAACAGATGCGCCATCCATTCCTTGTGAACAAGCTTCCATAACAGCCCAGCAGCCTGGTCCGCCAGGGCAGTAGAGTGGTGTTGCTATGGAAACCCTTAAACTAGACACACAAGAGAGACTGGGCCTATGCGCCAAAAATGGAGAAAGCACTGATGAGAGGGTAGATGTAACAGCCCACCAGAGTGTCCAGCACAGCAAGATCGATGGAGAGGAGAAAAGCTTGAGCACCACAGGGTACCACACAGCCAGAAACAGGAGATCATGAGTATGGCAAATATGGGAAACTTTTTGTTAAGAGGAATCTCACAGTCCACCAGAGAACTCTCAGGAGACGGGACCCAGAGGAACCCAGCGGGTGTGAGGGAAATTCTACAGGAGCTCTCAGCCCCTTGGAGACCTCTCAGGAGACAGGGCCCACAGGAATCCAGTGGCCATGAGCAAACTCTGACAGGAGATCTCGTAAGACACAAGAAGAGCACCACTGCAGTGGAACCATCCCCCAACCCGGAAGTCAAGGAAAGCCGCCAGGGAGGGTTCTCTGTCCTGAGGGAAGGCCTGAGGAGAAAGCGGACTCATGCATGCTCTGAGTATGGGAAGAAGTTCAGCAAGAAAGGCAAACTCACCAAGCACCAGCCTAGCCACCAGGATGGGAGGCCGTTCAAGTGCGGCCGGTGCCAGAAGAGCTTCTTCGTGAGGTCCCAGCTCGCCCAGCACGAGCGGATCCACACGGGGGAGCGGTCGTAGAAGTGCACGGAGAGTGGCAAGCACGTCTCCCAGATGTCCAACGTCATCATCCACCAGAGAATCCACACAAGGAGCGGCCCTTTCTGTGCCGACTGTGGGAAGAGCTTCGTCGAGAAGTCGCAGCTCATCACACACCGCCGGACCCACACAAGGGAGCGTCCCTTCACGTGTACTGAGTGTGGGAAGGGGTTCTCACAGAAGATCACCCTGATTACCCACCAGGGAATCCACACCAGGGAGGAGCCTTACACTTGTCCTCAGTGCAGCAAGATCTTCAGCCAGAAGGCTAACCTCATGCGGCACCAGCTGATCTACTTGCAGGAAGGGCTGTACACATGCAAAGAGTGTGGGGAGAGCCCCTGAAGAAGCATCAGCTGAATCATGCTGGGGAAAGGCCCCGTGTGTGCACCAAATGTGGGAAGAACTTCACCCACAAATCAAGCCTCAGCCGGCACCAAGAGATCCACGCCAGCAACAGGCCGTACGCAGCGGTGACAGCAGAAAACCTCAGCGTGGTCTATGAGATCATGCACATCCCACTACAGCGCTAGGGCAGGGGAGCACATTGGGTGGCAATGCAGATTTCCTTCGTATCACCTGTCCCAGGGGCTTGGAACCTCCCCAGGGGCAGCTCGCTCCATCCTGCTGCCATGGCGTATGAAATACCTGAACATCCAGCAGAGGACAAAGAGCAAGGGCCGGGTCCTTGCCACTGGTTTCACTTGTGTTTTCCTTCCACAGTAATGACATCGAACAGGACCTCAATCCGTCCATTGCTTCTGGAGGGAGAGTTAGAGGCGGCAAAGGAAGGGACAGCAGCACTGAGTGTTGTAGATAGAGCACACAACCCTGAAGGGATCAAGGAGACAGTCTGCAGCCGGGTAGGCCTGGGCTGGGCACCCAGGCCATGTGGGATGGAAGGATAGGGGGCAGGCCTGGGATGACTGAATATTCCAGATCATGCCATGGCTCCTAGCAGAGTTAGTCTGAGCCCACAGCCTCTGCTCTGCATTAGCAGAAAGGTTCCTGGGCACGTCCCCCAGCCCCAACCCCAAGGTTTCCTGGGTGGAGGAAGGACAGTGTCTGTTTCATATACAGTGTTCGCTTCTGGGCCCATCTAGTGGTTTCTCTTGCTGCCATTGTGCTTGGTGTCATTTTTCAAATTGCCCACACCTGCTCCAAACTCCATAGTTCTGGCCACTCTCCAGCGGCATGCAAAGAGTCCCCCTTTGGGCAGCTCACTAGCAGATGCCCAGGCCTCAGTGACATCTGCCATCTGCTCATTTACATATGCTAATATACACCTAGTGGGTGTTTCTACTTAGCCCTGAGTGGCCAAGGAATTTGCATGGACCCAGTCTTCTGAAAATCTCACAGAGTAATGGGTATTCTGGCAACTTAGATGTGCCCAAATGCAACCTTTAAAAATCCCTTGGTCCCCCCAGATCAGGGGTGGGTAATAATTTTCGCAGGGGGGCTACTTCATGAATTTTGGTACATGGTTGCAGGCTGGCTCCAGGCCCCTGGGAAGGGGTGGGGCTGGAGGCTACAGAGAGAGAGAGATTGAGATTTTGAGACACAGATTGAATGTGTGTGGGAGTCTGGGAGAGTGTGTGTGTGTACAGAGTCCGGGAGTATGCATGTGTATGTGCACGCACACATGGCACAGAAATAGTGTGACAAACTGGGTGTGTGTGACAGTGACACAGGAAGTGCATGTGTGTGTGTGCGTGCGTGCTGGGTGAGTTTGAGAGAAGCCTTGCACTGTCTCTTTAAAACAGGGAAAGCTGTCCTGATCTGTTGTCTTCATCTCCCTCACTCTACAGATATCTGGTGGGGGGGTGGGAGAGCGAGTGCATATGAGAGAGTGTGCACGCATGTGTGTGCACATACACAAGCACTGAAATCCTAGAAACAGGGCACTGCCTCTGAAGAGAGGAACTCCTGAGTTACTTACTCTGGGTGTTTCAGATTGGAGCAGCTCTACCTGACCCCTGGTCTGCAGAGATGTGGTACAGGGGCACACCCTGCGTTCAGCGCTCCCCTCTTCGCTCCACACCCCCGCACAGCTCGCAAGAAAATCCTGTCCTGCAGCCAAGCTGCTCCCAGAGCAAGGTTGGGGGAAGGGCAGCTGAACACAGCCGGGTGGCCCGGAGAGAAATGCTGGGTGGGCCGGATCCAGCCCCCACTCCTGCTGTTGCCCCTCCCTGCCCCAGAACTTACCTGAGCTTCTTGGCTGGGGGCTCAAATCACTACTAGTGCCTGCCCTGGCTTTTGGAGGGGGGGAAAAAAAAAATCAAAGCATCTCAGTAAGACAGCTGGGACTGGAAGTTTGCAACTGTCAATATCTACCTTGCTGCCCATTCCAGTAGTCCCTCATGGAGCAGTGCCAGCTTGAGCCAGGCTTCACTAACCTGGCCTCCCTTTGCATTAAAATCCCTGGCAAGCAGATGACCCAAGATCAGCGATTTTGCTTCCCTGCCCAGATTGGGATGTTTGCTGCCTTTTGGATCTAAAGATGAGCTGACTGCCATATGATTTAACCACATCTGCACCAGGGTCATGATTTAGTTTGGAAAAGAGAAGACTGAGAGGGCAAGGGGACATGAGAGCAGCTTTCAATTACCTAAAAGCATTGGTGGTCAGTGCAGTCCCTAGCACCACCTATAGCCCCGCCCCCTCTGCTGAGGCCCCGCCCCCTACCACAGGGAGAGGAGGAGGAGCAGAGTGCAGAGCATAACTACCACATCTGCACCAGGGTCATGATTTAGTTTGGAAAAGAGAAGACTGAGAGGGCAAGGGGACATGAGAGCAGCTTTCAATTACCTAAAAGCATTGGTGGTCAGTGCAGTCCCTAGCACCACCTATAGCCCCGCCCCCTCTGCTGAGGCCCCGCCCCCTACCACAGGGAGAGGAGGAGGAGCAGAGTGCAGAGCATAACT